GGGCAATTGGAACGCAGGCTCCTAAGATTCCGTGACACCCCCACCTTCTAATTCTGTTATTGCAACTGCAGACCGTTACCTGGCACGCTGGCCACAATCTTCCTCACTCTTGTGAGACTCTGAGCGACTGGCAGTGCCTTAGCTCTGAACTCAGACACCTCGAACCTTGTTTTTGTGGTTAAGGATCCTAAAGTGCTGTGGGGACTGATCTCGTGTTTCTCAACAGTAAGTTAAGAATTTCAGTTACTGCCATCCCTCAGTCCTGATTCAACCTATTTGATTTCACCGGTTAATCCGCACATTTTGTCTTTTCTTCGTCCCCTGAGTCCCTTGTACTTCCACCGTCATCCTGCCACCACCACGTCAGGTCATGTGGTATCTATGCGCCCTTGGTCCAGATTAAGGAGGCACTTAATGAAAGACTCTAGAAAGAGTCCAACGAGAAATGCGCCCCCAGCGGAGGGCAGAGCACAAACATCTTTCTGATGAAGTCATACCAAGGAGAAATTTGTAATATATGGGCCAGTATACTCTTCTCTGACCTCTATAGGTAGGCAGACAGTATCATAACGGTCTGCGGAGTCATCTTCACAAAGAGGCTGATGCAATATAGTACGGTAATTTCTCGAGAGTATACCCTGTATAGGTCTCTCTAGAAAAATAATTTAATCCCTCTCCAATTTTACTCTCGAGAGATGGTATCTCTTCACATTTTGTTAATATTAAGATGACTGTCGTGCCACAGAGTGATTTAAAGTTCCCGTGGTTTGCATCAGAGTGCGGACCAGCCGTAGAGGTAGAATATAGCAGTATTAATTCGGAGCACGTGCACAAGGCACCACCGTATCTCCCGGAAGGAACCGCCTAGAATAGATGAGAGTGGTCAAGAATCCTTTCTGTACCATATAAGATCCGGCAGACAAATGACATCTAGTCTGTTGTTCTAAATGTCTGGGACTAGTGAACTTTTATTCAGTTCAAGCTTCTGTTGAGGCCCAATAGGCCAAGCTCTGTTCTAGGGACCCTGAGGGAAATTTGGTGATAGTACACAGTACCCACTCTGTGGGGCCTCAAGAGGAGTCTGCTTCTAATAGAACCTGTGGTATCTATAACCGACAGCATCAAAAGCAGGGAGTAGGGGCCGTGCAAGGTGGCTCAGTCCTGTAATCCCAGCACTTTGGGAGGCTGAGGTGGGTGGATCA